CAACCAACCAACCAACCAATAAATAAATAGAGTGATTTCAAGGACTATGGGAAGAATTTACATCTACCTTCTTTCAAAATTCCTTTTAAATGTTCAAAATTTATCGAGATTGAAGTCTGAGGCTAAATAATTTGGGTGGTCTATAGCTATAGATGCAAACATCAAAAGGAGAATAGCTTTTTGAAACCTTTTCCTAAACAACAGTGTTCTGCCATGTTTCCATACTTTTATAATCATGGCTATGAAGGAGAAATCACTCATTAATTGATCTTCCACATGCTCCCTTCAACACAATCGATACGAAATAGGTTACAGGGTAGCAAATTCACATTAGCTATATCTTAGAATATGCCTACATGTGAGCAGAACATGTAGGGTGTTTTTCCCCCCAGAGCAACAAGAATTTAGATGTTGTCCATCTTGAAGGACAACATACCAGGTCAACCGAAGTCATTTTGCTGCACAAAACAAAGGACATCCCATGTACAGAAGCAATCAAACTTCAAAACTGGTGAACAAACTCAGTTTATTTGTTACTTGTGGGGCAGGTAGCAAAATGCTAAGGGAAGGAAATTAGTTTGATGCATCAGGGCATGCCATTTGTTATACTCAGCTCTGTCCCCTAAAAGATCACAAATGTTTCCCTATATTTGAGGCAGCCCCTCTACCCTGCTTAATGGTAGGGTGACTCACTATCAATATACTGCGATAAGAGGGAGGGCATGTGTTTTTGCTAGGTGAACTGCTCTCCCACTTTGAATGTTTTAGGCTACGTTGCTCTTTTACATTTGCAGTGTCCTCTTTCCCCTCTGCAAACATTTTATTGCCAGTGAACCCATACAGAAGAATGGCTTGTCAGTCACAGTCCCTCTCCTTCTGTGACTACTAAGGCAATGCAAGAGAATATGAGCAGAAAAGGAGGGAAGTGCTTTCTTTTCTTCCTGTACCTGATGTACGGTATTCATTGGAGGCCCCTCTTCACATCATATCATGCTCTCCAATGTGCATTTAGCCACCTCTTGGCTTTTAGCTATGGTGTTCCTAAGTAGGGAGTTTGTCTGCATGCATCATTTGCTGTGTTAGGACTGTCTCTCACCCGTGCACCTTGGGATTCCAGGAAAGGTCAGTAGCACTTCAAAGTCAGCCTCCACTGGCAGCTGTGTGATGGCCACATTGGGAAATAAGATGATGAGACTTAGCCTGGTCAAGTATTTGCTTCAAAAAGCTCTGAATTCATATCTTTGGCACAACCAAAACAACAACAACAAAAAAGGGTTTCACTGTTGTATAGATGCAATGCTGTTCATAACAATGAAATCAGCAAAGCATTCTGATTAATCAGGACACTGGTTATTCTTGCAAGCTAGACACTCATCGACAGCAGATGCTCACAGAAACATCTTTACTGAGAGACAAGGGAACACCTTTATGCATTACAGTCGTGCCCCGCTTAACTATTATCCCATATAGCGACGAATCCGCTTCACAACGATGTTTTTGCAATCGCAATTGAGATCGCAAAATGATGTTTTAATGGGTTTTTTTCGCTTTACGACGATCAAAACAGCTGATCTTTGGGTTTTCAAAATGGCCACTGGCTGCTCAAAATGGCTCCCCGCTGTTTTTAGGAGGCATTTTTCGCTTAACAGGCACCTGAAAATGGCCGCCGTATGGAGGATATTTGCGGGACGAGCAGGTATTCAGCCCACTGGAATGCACTGAACGATTTTCAATGCATTTCAATGGGCTTTTTTATTTCGCTTGACGACGTTTTCGCTCTACAGCGATTTCGCTGGAACAAATTAATATCGTCAAGCGAGGCACCACTGTACTGGGCATTTGGCCCAATAATGTATAAAGAGTGAAAGGAGGGTAGATAGTAATAGAGGCAGAAAGGTTACCTGTGGCCGTGGGTGCCCTGTAACCACACACTGCAGAACAAGGGTGTCACCTTCCCGAATAGTGTATACTCGTTCACTGATGTTATCTTCCTTTACAACACATGCCTGCCCAGCATGGATGATCTGGGCCTGAGCAGGAGCTATGGAGAGGGAGAGAGAAAGAGAAGAATTATGAAACTGAAGTTGTGTAGAATGCATTCCTTTTCCTTACGTCATGCTCTAGCTGTCCCACCTCCCTGGTTCTTATGAACAGGAGCTCCCACAGTCCCTTAATATGGATCCTGCTGCCTGTGATTCTGTGAGTTGATGTTCAAAATGTCTAGAGGGATAACATTTTTGACCCCATTAAAACAGTCTAGAAGCATTTGAAGTTTTGAGAGAACGCTACAGCTCTCAACAGCCAAATCAAGTACTGTATTTTTCCGTGTATAAAATGATACTTTTTCCTTAAATAATTTGAGGGGGAAAAAATGAGGGTCGTTTTATGCACAGAAGGCAGCTCTTTACCACTGCCTTTTACGAAGGCACGGGGCTTTAGCAAAAAGGAAGGGGAGGTGTTGCTGCCTTTTTGCTAACCTCCGTGCCTTCTCAAAAGGCGAGGGCATGCTGGGTCTAGCAAAAAGGAAGGGGAGCCATCTCCAGCACACCCTCGATTTTTAAGAAGGCACGAAGGTTAGCAAAAAGGATGGGGAGCAAGGGTCACTTTGACAGCCGCTTTCCTTGCCTTTTGAGAAAGCACGGGGCTTAGCAAAAAGGGAGCCCTTTGATCCCAGCTTTTTCTAATTTTGGGTTAAAAAAGGGGGGGTTCGTCTTATACTTTGGGTTGTCTTATACATGAAAAAATACGGTAGATGGAGTGATGGAGTGCTACTCCTGTCCTCTGAAGATGCTGGCCACAGAGACTGGTGAAACGTTAGGAAGAACAACCTTCAGAACACGGCCAAAGAGCCTGAAAAACCCACAACAACCAATAGTTCTTCAGGTTGACATGGGAGCAAGGGAAAAGCTCTTCAAACTGGAACAAAGCATGGCTTAAATCTAGGCTGAATTTCCCACTAAAAAGCATATTGGGATAATCCTTACTATTTCTGGATCAGTGTACAACAGGCAAGGAAGCCATCTAAGCAGTTGTATAAAAATTAGTAGGTAGGTTCTTCAGAAATGAGAGACTGCATTCATTGCTACAAACTCTAAATTACATTAGATGATACATGAAATAAGATCGGAATTGCATTTTAACAACTATTCAACTTGTTCTCATAGGTGGAAATGTATGTGTGAGTAACCATTCTTCATGAATCAACCCAATAATTATTACAAAGGATCTCCTCACTTGCCTCCTTTCTCTCTTTCCAGCTCACCAGTGATTTATTGATAGGATTACTCCCCAAGTACTATTCAAACAATGGTGGATTAATAGATTCAACGCCCTTACAATAAACACACCAGAGCTCATCACAACCTCTCCTTCTCCAGCCTTCAACATCTGCAGAGACCTCCTGCTGTTCTGTTCGCATGAACCTCTGCTGTCATTAAAAAACAAGCATGCCCGAGACAAAGTGCAAAGCTCCGTTGACGGAGCTGAGCAGATGGAAGGCCTGCCCTTCCCAGGAGGACAAGGGATTAATGTTGACTAAGTACACAAATATTGGGCAGATGAAACATTTATATAAACCTAGAAAGGGAGATTTAGGGCTTGTGAGAATAAACAACAAAGCCAAAAAATAAATAAATAAAAAGAGACACAAGGACACCGTGAAAGGGAATGGTTCCACAACATTTCTGTCACAGCATCTTATGCTTCTCTTCCAGACTTAAATATTAAGCAACCTCTCTGTCAATATTTAAATAATTCCCTTTCATGGATTCCCCACCACCTTGCTGCCTAGCTCTTATGGACAATTTATGTGGAGGGCCATTTGTGTATGGCAGCTTACCATATGGATCTGCCACTTTTAAGTGGCCCATCACAAATCGGCTTTTTATTTAGTCATCTAGTGAAACATCTCCTAGCCTCTTCGATGAGTAATACCACAGGTACAGATAGTGGGTTAAAGGAGCCTCCAAACAGGGGTTATTCATGCAGAAATGGTCTCTTGATCTTTTTTTCTTTTTGCAGTGTGTGGCTAGATTCGCTTGCTTAAGCCATCTGGTTGTTTTTACAAACCCCATTAATTGGGCAGATGCTTAATTGCAAAATACACCTTCTTTCCTATTGCTCTTTTGAATGTAGCACACAATAAATGCAAAAAACATAGGTTAAAACGTAGGCAACTAATTATGTTCCTAGACCATCCCATGAACTCAGGACAGATGAGAGCCATTTTACCAAAGACATAGCTATGATTGCTCCCAAGCGGCTCATATTCTCAATTAATTAATTCAAGGTTTGGGAAAGTAACGAAGGACAAATAAGTAATTAAAAGGTACTTCCAGACACCTACTCCCAGCACCACCACCAATAAAAAAAGCATAACAGGAAGTTTCTTGAGGATAACATGCTTCCTACTACTGCAGATTAGAGGTACCATGACTTTGATCCTATGGCTAATCCATCTAGCCTGACATTTTGCCTAAAGCAAAAATTCAACCAGTTGAGGAATTCCTCCTCAGGAAAAACATCACTGAAATTGTGTTGGAAGTTCAGTAAGTGGTATCTCTAGAGGGGTACGTGTGTATACCATTAATAAAATATTTAAACAGTACATAACAATTAAAAAATGAAGGACATAACTGGAAGCCATTATTAGAAAAGGCTTGGGGGGAAAGCAAAGCTGGGCCCAGATTGAAAAGTCTTCAGGCCATATATAGCAAGCCATTGCCCATACAGTACCTCTCCTAACTGGAGAGGATTTGGTGTGGGCACAGCTAATTCTAGAGTGCGATGAGCCACCCAAAAAGCACTCTTTGAGCAAGATGTCTTAATAACGTCCCTGCCCACTCTGCATACTTCCTAATGAGGGAAGACACAACATAAAGTTGCCTGACTGAGCTGGCTGGAAACATTGCAAATGGTGGGGGTGTGGCCTCAGTTTTTGACATCCGGTGCAGCGATAGCTCCTTACATCATCTAGGTTTTGGAAAGCCGCATGGCAGCATCTTTTCACCACTAAAGGCTCCCCACCCTGGAGCTAGAAACCCCCTATGCCTACTTATTTTCTTGAGAAGATTTGGCCTACAAGTGAGAAATGAAGCAGAAGATTGACTCACAGCATTCTATGTAGCCAGCACTTTGTTCAACTGCAAATACGCACTTCAGACAACTGAATGGATAATTACATACACCGTTGCTAACCATATGGCAAGTGCAGAGATCAAAAAGATGATATTAACTGGAAACAAAAGATTTAAAAACCAATTTAGGTTAAGAATGTAAAGTGAAAACTGTGGTCAAAGCAACTGGATGAAATAAACTGCCAGCAACAGATGGGATACTAGTAAAACTATTAAGACTGTTGCATTAGTTTCTCATGTAAGCACAGTTATGCTCAATATTTTCTAATAAAGGCATTTACTATATATGAAAGAAGAAATGACAGATGATGAAGCTGGATTCAGAAGACCAAGAGGCATTAAGAGATTTTATTGCAAATATACACAGAATTTCAGAATAAAATTAGTTTGTGCTTTATACATTACAGTAAAGCCTTTGAGTGTGTAGATCACGGAAAAACCATACCTCGTCTAAAATAAATGGGTGTTCCACGATTTTACAGTATTTGATTGTCTGGCACCGACCGACCAACCGACCAACCAATACTCTGGACAAGAAGCTACTGTTTGCACAGAGTATGGAGAAACTGAATGGTTTCCAGTAAGCAAACATATCAGACAATGCATTTTATGCCTCTATAGGCTCAATTTATGTATATGCAGAACAGATTATAGGGAAAGCTGGATTAGTTTCAGATGAAGGAGTGAGAAGTGGTAATGAATTGAAGCAACGACTGAGGAAGGTTAAAGAAGAACATGCTAAGGCTATTTTCTGACTATAGAAGGATTACATAAATTTAATGTTGACCACGAAGAAACTGAAATGGTTAAAGATTTGCTATACCTTGGTTCAAATCATCAATCAGAATGGCAACTGCAACCAAGAAATCAGAAGTAGACTAAGACTTGGAAGATCAGCTATAAAGGAACTGGAAAAGATATACAGATGGACACCAAAGCCAAAATAATTGATAGTATGGTATTCTCAATTGCTATATGCAGATGTGAAAGTTGGACAATAAAGAAAATTGACAGGAAAGAAATGAACCAGTTTACAATGGGATGTGGGAGAGGAGCTTTACTGATACCACGGAGTGCCAGAAAGATAAATAAATAGGTTTTAGGTTAGATGAAGCCTGACCTCCTGACTAGAAGCTAAAATAACTTAAGTAAGGCTATTGTACTTAGGATGCACCATTAAAAAAAGAAGACTCACTGGAAAAGAGAATAAAATTAGGAAAAGTTGAAGCAAAGGAAAGAAGAATGTGAGATGGATCAATTCAGTAAACGAACCATGGCTTTTAGTTTGCAAAATATAAGCAAAGCTGTTAATGCCAGTAGCTTTTGGAGGTTATTAGTTCATAGGCTACTATGTAGAACACCATATATCAGAAACAATTCAACATAACAGATTTGCACCAGTAGACCACAAAAAAGGAGGGGAGGTAAAGACCATAAATCAATAAATCAATAAGACAGATGTTAAAGATGGAAAAAGTTTATCTACCAGTTGCATGAGAAAATAAAACATTGTTTTGAAAATTATTTGGTATATTGGGCATTTTTAATGCCATGAATGGAAGAATTAATTATAATTATTCGTATGGAAAATTGTGTTTTTGAATCCCATTATGAAAGGTTTAAAGGTAGTTAATGTATGTTTTCTATTGTTATACGCACTTGGTATGTAAGAAGTTTATGGTGTGTGTGTTAGAATAGTTTTTAAGGTGTATATTTACAATATGAGGCAAAAATAGACTATTGTGAGAGGATTAGTTCCCTTTTGGAGAGCAAATTGTATGTGTTAATCTCCTCCTGTTGATTGTACAGAATTCCCCTTGTTTATATCCTGAATCTCAGCCCACGCTATTATATCAATGCACAGCCTTCATTTACCATACTTCTGTTATTCTTCAGCAAATGTACT